CACACACACACACACACACACACACACACACACACACACACACACACGCAGATCATTGCTTTTTTCCTTCCCTGTTATCAGGCTAGTTAAAGGATAAAAGAGCGTGAAATCAAATCATATGCTGTTTTGACTTCTAAAGGGGAACACTCTGAACCCACATCAGCAGACTGAGATACAGTACAACCTGGTCGGACGTGGCTCTCCTCAAAACATGACGCACTATAATGTTCTTTAAGTGGGAAGCATAACGACACAACATCAAACAAGGGTCAACCACGTCACCCTTCCAAAACTGACAATTCTCGTCTTCAAAAAGAGGATTGTGTGCTCAGACACACCCGTGGCTATCGACTGACTTGGAAAAACTTGAAAAGGCTGTTCGAAGACAGACTCAGGTGCCGTTAGATGAGGTGAACAAAGTGCCCTCGAGCAACAAACTGCTACGGATGAGCAGGTTAAAACTTTGCATGGCAGGGCGGGTTGCATCATTTTACTTAAACCCATTTAGCAATAGAAAAAAAGTTATTTTTATAATTGTTGTTTTTGTTATTGTCAACCATTTTTCGTAATGATACCAAAACCTTAAATGTGTTAGCCGCCCTCAGCACAAAATCCAATTAGTTCAGACTGAAAAATCTTAAAAACAGGTGACAAATATTTAATTTTATCTTTAAAAAAAAGGCCCAACCATTTCCTGAAACAGGTGGTCACTGGAGTTTTAAGCAAGCATTACTCAAACAGGGGTACACAGTGCATTTGTTGGGGACTACTTTCAGCCGTGGAAGAATACACATTTGGCGCTCCAGTGAGTTTTTACAGAAGCAAGATGGCGTGTGTGGGATCGACACAAAATAACAGTGCCTGTGTTTTTCATAATGAAGGAACATGTCACTCATCAGAACAGTGTGGCATTGCTGTGTTTTTAGTTTTAGTGTTTGGGCAATAATACAGATCTATGGCACAGAGGAATAAGTTCTATCAGGCTCTCTCACACTCTATCACACACACACACACACACACACAAAATACGTAATAATAATACTTTTTTTTTTGCTGAGAATTCGAAAAATAAAGAATGTCACCTTTATCATTTCAGAGTCGTACAATATGATGACAGGATTTCCCAAAAACAAGACTCGGTTTTTCCTTAAAGTTATAGCTTGAAAGTTATAGAAAGACAAATAAAATCTTGTCATTTCAGGATTATAATATTTCCAAACAAAAAAAAGAAACTGACATTTCGTAGGGAACTTTACAAGGACAATTTATTTATTACCAACTAGCGGGGAAGGTGTTAACATTTTTAATTTATTCTATTTTTTGTATACGTTTTGGGTGTATATTACAAGAAAAAATATAGACAGTAAACTTCCCAATAATTAATAAATATTACCTTTTATTTTAACAGGTAGAATTAAGTATAGTGGATTCAGATTCAAACTTGAATTTGTGCCGTCAAATATTTGTAAGTGCCATGTTGCTTTTGGGAGATAAAGTCATGCTGGTTTACTTTACTGTATAGAACACAGAATAAATTAAAGTTAGTGTGTTACTGTATGTACAACACGTAAGTGTATAAGTGTACTTTTATACGTGTCAATCATGAAAGCAATGATTTAATGATTTTATGTCTCGCCGATTAAGTCCTGCACTATATCAGATTTCAGCAACCTTCACAGACATCTGTAACTCTGTAAATATGTGCATGTTGAGCATTAATGTGTGTTCGTGTTTGTGTGTGTGTTATCAGGCCACCCTGACTCCCTTGGCCTGCCTGTCACCAGTATCCAGGCTTCTGTGTTGATTTTAGGACTAAAGATCAATAGCGACAATATGTCAGCTCTCAAGAGCCTGACAATGAATTACACACGCTTTTAGGCACACAAGCACATGAACACACACGTGAACACACACACAAAATGAAATTCATCATATAAATACGAGAAAAATCATTCCAGCTACAGTAGTTCATGATGTATAGTTCCTCAGACATGATGAGTAATGTATACTTACAGAACAAATTCAGTTTGTGACGTTATAATTGAATCTATTAAACTAACTTTTGATATCGACCCTTTTTGGTTAACTGCTGTCACACAAATTGTATACGTCATCAAAACGTTCATACGTAAATACATAATTTCACACTATAGGTACTTTGTTCAAGGGCTTACTGACGTGAACTCACTTTTGCTTGGTCATTTTAGATAAAAGGTATGCGTTAACTGTCCCCAGTTAGAGCATATAAGGCTTGTGCAGCTGTAAAGCATCCCAGTGAATCAGACGGATAGGCAATATGTAGCTTATCCCTCTGATGTTAAACAGGATGAATATGCCCTGAACTTTGTACACCCAACTTACACCCCGATCAAACTCCCTAGGTCACCGTGTGCATAAATGTAGCACTTCAATGGCTAGAGTTAATCACTCGGAATTCCTCACAAAATCTAATTGACAACACAACAAATTAAATGTGCAGAAATGTCATTTTTAGAAGGCAGGGTTGCCGGGGAAGTACGCATTGGGGAAACCAGGATGGGATAATGGGTTTAAAGAATGAATGGATGGCTACAACCGATATTGAGCAGGCCCAATTTATGACCAAAGACATTTTATTGACATTCATCCAACTGAATTTAAAAGTTACAGATTAAAAAAAAAAAAAAAAGCTGCAAAGTAAAACTCTGAAATTAAAAGTCCACATTGTCAAACTGTACACAGTTCCCATTATCAGGCCTTTTAATAGCTGTTTTCAAGCTGTGCCAGAACCTGGAGATCTGGTCGTCATCATCAGGCCACTCCAGGTACGTCCGAGAGTTCATGAGCCTCCGCAGCTTGCAGAACTTTTTGGGAATTGTCTCTTTATCAATGGGCTCCAACAGAATCAGCACAACTGTGTCGTCGTTTTGGTCAAACACTCTAAAATGGGTGTAGTCCAGCTCATACTTGCACCATTCACTGCTGACAAAATGCGGAGAAAGGACAAACAGAGTTCTGTGACTCTTCTCTATGGCGACCATGATGTTGTCCAAGATCCAGCCTCCGGGAACAAAGTCTCTCTTGTGGAGGCAGAGCCGGAGAGGTGGCTCGGTCTGCTCCAGCTCCGGGACCAGATGTGCATCCACCCAACCAGAGTCCATTTCACTGTAGGACACAAAGGCGTCATACTCCAGCTCGCCCTTTTTTAACTTTGGCTTCCTCTTGGCCCTCAGCCAGTACCAGGTCATCTTCAAATACCACACAACGCTGAATTTGTGACACAAACCTGCGACGATCAGAAACACCACCAGGAAGCCTGAGCAGAGTAAAGAAACCGCTAAAGCCGTGTGGCACTCAAACACTGACAACCTCGCTTCTGCCACACTCTTTCCTCTCACGGCGTCAGGGGAGTCACAGACGTACGACTTGGAATCATCTCCAAATATGACGCGAGAACTCGTCATGAACGCTACAAAGTCACATGAACAGATGTACTTGTTAGCACCAGCCTCCAGACTCTTCAGATTATTATAATGATTCAGAGTGTTGCTGCTGAATGTCTGTAAGTCGTTGTTTGGAATGGAGAGAAACGTGAGACGAGGGTATAAAACCCCGTCTGGCAACGTAACGATCTTGTTGCCAGAGATGTATAACTCTGTGAGAAAAGGTAGTTTGACGTTGAACACGGTCAAGTCATTGTCTGATATGTCGAGGATTCTTAAACTCACCGGCAAACAAGTGGTTACTTTTAGTAAATGTGTTGATGAAAGGTTTAGGAACTGGAGACTTGGCGGCCAGTAACAAGTCTCAGGCATACTATGAAATGCATTTCCACTCATGTCGATGTTTTTAAGCTTACTTAGTTTGGTGAAGAGCTGGCTGTTGATCGACTGAAGGTGATTCCTGCTGACATTGATGGTTTGCAGAGTCCAAAGACCACCATTACCATCGCACATCATTTCGCCGAAGGCCAGATCACTAAGCAAGTTGTCACTGACGTCCATATACTCCAGATTTGAGAAATCAACAGAGTACTCACAAGGCCAGAGATAAAACTTGCAGTTTAGCAGCGACACTCTTCGCACCATGCCCACCAGAGGCCCCAGGAAAAAGACTGGGAAGTTGTAAAACTGAGGGACAGCAACATTTTTCAAGACAACAGCCTCCAAACGGTTAAAGTGTTGGGGATATTCAATGCTACCCAAAGAACTTAGGAGGAGTTTAGTATCTACAAGTGCCAACTTAGTCAAATTAGAGTCCGACATAATATGCAGAAATGCCATGGTAGCCGGAACGGTCATAGTAACATCTTTGAAAATAACACTTGTAGTTCCGCCGCGGTGGGCCATTTTCAATGGGAGGATTTGATCCTCTGTGTAAAACTGTGTGTCAGTGAATGTTAGGGTTGTGTTTTGGTGTACGACATCAGACAGTATAGCTTCTACGAGTGGTTGATTTCTCCAAAATGGACCATTCAGACCAAGTGTGACAAATTTGAGTGGCCCAATTTGTCTTAAACTTCCTTCTGCGTAATACCGCAGATTCTTTCCATCAAAAACAACCTCTTCAAGAACACTGAGACCAGACAAGTCACTTTTTCGGACAGATTGAAGGTCAGGGCCTCCAAAATGTAAGGTCCTTAATCTCTTCAGCGGCTGGAAAACGTTGCCTTGACCCAACATTTTATATTTGTTCCCCAAAAGATTCAAGTGACGAAGAGAAAAAAGGTTTTCAAACCATCCAGCAGACAATGTTTTCAGTCTGTTAAAGGACAAGTCCAACTTCTCCAAATTAGTCAGCGGGAAAAATGCTTCGTCGTGGATCTTTTGGATTCTGTTGTTATTCACGATCAAAGACTGCAGACGGGAAAACGCAACAAAGTCATTTTTCACTATCGTCTGCAGTCTGTTGAAGGAGAGATCGAGTTCAGTGATGAGCGTTGAAGGAGCCTCAGGGACCGTGGTCAGGTTTTGTCCCGAGCAGTTGCAGGATGTTTGCTCACAGCTGCGACACTGTGCTCTGGAGAGTGAGAAGCTTTGATGCATTAGCAGCAGGACGAACGAGAGAAATGTCAGGATTCTCATCTTGAGTTCCTATAAAACACAGAAGAAAAGAAAAGCGACCCATCAGGCCTTTCCTTGCATAGTGTTGTCCCAACACACTCTTAGAATACAAACTAGAATTGTTGACTGTGGCTAGAACTGACAAACTGTACACATGGTCATATTTATCAAACGGCCCCTCCATCATCTGAGATACATATTAAATAAAACATCTAATAAATTAGTTCCCTCCAAAAGGCATTTTGGAAAATATAAACAAAGAAAAGCCATATTTTTTGGGGGGAAAAACTGTTATTCACTAAACTATAGGAGTTTTTCACAGCAGATATTTTCACCTGTCATAGTAGGAAAAACACAGGAGCTACCAATACCATTAATGATGGCTCTGTGTCCCAGTAAGCCTCGACAGTGCGACAGTGAGCCGACATGCACAATACCAGGACCCTAAATAGAATCCAGCAATCATTATTTATACTATGCACACCTGGGCTTTTCTTACTCGTCCTTGTCGTCCAGGAAAAAGACCAATTATTGAGTGTGACAAGTTGTTTTATGCTTTCTCAGTGTTTAAGGGATACCGACATGTTGTACGGTCAATTATATCGACAGAATTGAAATTTAATTTGTGTTTATCAATGAAAAGGTATTCATCTATTATATAGTACTTGTTGCTCAAATAAAACAGCCACGAAGGTTCTTTGAATGCATCCTTTTAACTCAAATTAAATAAATACATTTTTAAAAGCCATTAAAGTACATCACCTATCCAAGAAGTCTTATTACTCCAGCAGCACACTCCATAAAACATGATATAGGATTGAAATTAAAGAGAAAATACCCTGAGTCTCGACGTGTCACAGCTGAAATCACTTCTCCCTCTTCACCGTGGCATGACAGAAAGATGCATTCATTGATTTAAATGTTTTCACTTCTCTACTTTGCTAAATACTTCCCACATCTTAAAATATATTCCGCCACGTTCAGAAATACAGCAACAGTAATTATGGGAAGTCGTCTCTTTTATATGAACCTAATTTGTCAAAACGCTCTGCGAAAATAATGAAAACAATGTAATTAATAATTTAATTTAAATTAATAATTGTAATATTGTATTGAGGCAGAGAGAGAAATAGTAACAGCCTCACGAGATGCATCAAGTTAGACTCTTAGCTGTCTGTAGTTGTGAATATGAATTTGTCCATACGTGTTTTAGGACTTGTGACCTGTCCAGAAGGTACCACCACCCCTCGTCCAATGATAGCTGGGGAAAGCTACAGCACCCCTTTGACTCTGCACAGGGAGAATAATTATAAAGCATCGACTGATGGATGTACACAGTATTAAGATACTATGGATGAAACTCGCTCTCTCCGATCGGATTGGTACGAGCATTTTCCCAAGCAAACGTCATTTGTTTGCCAACAAGGCCTAAGATTAGTAATGTCTGTCAGTCCAGAACGAGACAAAGTATCTGAACCACTTTCCTTGACCAAAATGTATCTGGACAACAAACAGCCAGTTTGCTATGAAATTTACTGTTGATATTCCCCTGAGGATAAATTACTCCACAATCATCCCTTTTACACATCAAGATCATTTCTGATGTAATGAATGTAGTTTAAAAAACACGGCCTTTCACCAGGCAGAGAGACGGTTCTGAGCAACATTATTGAAACTCTTGGCTCGAGTCTGTGCTTTTTGGTTCTTATTTCCTATTTAGTTTTCTTAATATTTACATACATACACACAGCCAGTGGTGGACTATCATTACCACCTTGCTGGTGTACCAGTCAAGTTGCAGCTGCACGACAGTCCAAAAAAAGGTCATCATTTTATCTAATTACACATTTGTGTGAAACTGTCATGAGCATATTAATTATTGAGTTATGGCCAAGTTATGTGTGAGGTCACATTGACCTTTGACCACCAAAATCGAATCGGTTCATCATTTAGTCCAAGTGGACGTTTGTGCCAAATTTGAAGACATTTGTTCAAGGCCTTCCTGAGATAATGCGTTCCTGAGAATGAGACGGACGGACAAAACAACTGGAAGACATAATGCCTCGAACGTGCCGAGTGACACGAAGGGCACTGGCTGCATGCGGTGTGGCACCAGCGAGCAGAGCGTTTTCTATCATGTAGGGCAGTCGACATGGCACTACGTCACGTCTTCTCCACTGGAAGGACAAGTGTACAAGCTTTAAGCCCGTTTTCTGTGGAAAATAAAGCAGAGGATGAAACTAAAACGACGACATTAATGGACTTGTGGGCTCTGACAAGTGATTGAAATGATCAAAGAGGTTAGCTAAGAAAGAAAAACAGACGTCGATAGACAGATAAAGTTAAATACTACATTAACGTAATTAAAGAAATCCTGTTGAAGTACAAAACCTTTTTTTTTTATTTTCTATGATCAAAACTGCAAAACATCTAGAAAAATATACAACAAATGCTTAACCTTTCACAACATTTAACATTTGAAAATGGGAACATAAAAGAGAAGGAATATTCACATTTTCCCCATTAATGATAAAAGAACATTCATTTTTATTTCCTTTCTTTTACATATCAACGTTTTTTTATATGTTTGCAATTATCGTTATGGTCTGCCGCTTTGTTATTTTTTAATTTTAAACATCTCCACAGTAGCCAGAGTCGTTGGAGAGTTGCGAGTTGGAGCTGCGGTTGGAGGAAGAGTTCCATATGTCCAGGTTCATGTGGGGGCCGAAGGGGTTGAAGCTGGAGTACTGGATCGGTGCGCACGTCACCTCTGGCTCCCGGATAAAGGGAGAATGAGGCGGGGTGACGGGGGACACGGGGGACATCGGGGCCGATCGCTCGGGTTGGAAGTGGCTCTGGTAGGGCTCGCTCTGAGGCGTCCAGATGGACCCAAACAGACTGGACATGGGGGAGAGGCTGCGGGTACCCGAGAAGTATGGCTGTGGAGGGCGGAGAGAGAGAGAGAAAGAGAGAGAGATGATGTTAACTGTTCAACCACTTGTTTTCCTGATATTTGGAGCTGCTTTGTGTGCTGTCCAAAGTTATATCCCAGTATTGGACATCCGTGACATATTCTGACCTTACCTGTCACTGGGCTTCGCTACCGTGGGGCCACTTGGCTGTCTGTTCCCTGCAGTGATGAGCTGGCTGTCGTTGCTCTGCTTTTCATTAGCGTCTGTCCTTTTCAGCTAAAGTAAAATGACCTTCCCGCTCTAGTTTCCCTCAATCCTCAGAAACAAGAAAAAGGCAATCTCTTCAGGAGTCGTAGTGACTCGTGGTTAAGACGCATGCCGGGGAACAGCAACGTCTCCTGTTTGATTCTGGCTGCAGAGCTTTGGTTTCCTGTCTGTTTCTACACTTTCTAACACACACAAAAACAGAAATGTCTTTGTTGTAAAGACACTATAAGTAGATGTTACATGCTACTGCAAAGTATTCTCTTGAGCAGTTGTTTTATGAATCTTTGGATAGAGGTACTCGCTGATCGTAGTTTAGTTTGAGGTGTGTTTTTAATCACAGTACATAGTTGTAGTACTTCATGGTATTAGGATTCAGCCTGTCATTTTGAGACCAGTATTTGAGAGTAAAAAATTCAAACATCACACTCGGCTGCAACTGAAGTGCTTACTGAAGTGTTTTTACAGATGTCTCTATAGAGTAATGTTTTTACCTGAGCTAGAAACATTACATTTTTCTTTGTTGATATGTTTAATCCAGCGTGATGATGTTTTGTATGAAGCAAAGCTGTGGTACATTACATTGGTGGAACAAGGCCCAGCATTCACTGGGGCGGTTTGCAGCCGAGTGTGAAGCGGCGGGGATGAGAGTTAGCACCTCCAAATCTGAGGCCATGGTGCTCTGCCGGAAACCGGTGGATTGCTCCCTCCAGGTGGGGACGGAGTGCCTACCTCAAGCGAAGGAGTTCAAGTATCTCGGGGTCTTTCACGAGTGAGGGTAAGATGGAGCGGGAGATCGACAGACGGATCGGTGCGGCTGCAGCAGTAAAGCAGGCGCTGCACCGGACCGTCTTGGTGAAGAGGGAGCTGAGCCTGAAGGCAAAGCTCTCAATTTACCACTCGGTCGACGTTCCTACCCTCACCTATGGTCACAAACTCTGGGTTGTGACCAAAAGGACAAGGTCGCGGTTACAAGCGGCCGAAATGAGCTTCCTCCGTAGGGTGGCCGGGCTCAGCCTTAGAGATAGGGTAAGGAGCCCGGTCATCAGGAGGGAGCTTGGAGTCGAGCCGCTACTCCTTCGCGTCGAAAGGAGTCAGCTGAGGTGGTTCGGGCATCTAATTAGGATGCCTCCTGGACGCCTCCCACTGGAGGTTTTCCAGGCACGTCCAACTGGGAAGAGACCCCGGGGAAGACCCAGAACACGCTGGAGAGATTACATCTCCCAGCTGGCCTGGGAACGCCTCGGGATCCCCCAGAATGAGCTGGAACATGTTGCCGGTGAGAGGGAGGTCTGGGTCGGCCTGCTTGACCTGCTGCCACCGCGACCCGACCCCGGATAAGCGGTGGAAAATGGATGGATGGATGGAAATTCAAACATATAACAATGAAGGTATTTTTTTTTAATCTGACATCAGCTACCTTTTATTTCACACAATCCCTCAATTTTGGTTGAACTGATTTTTTCCCCGAGGCAGTATATTTTAAAGTTGTCAATAAACTTCGAAGCAACAGTAAATATAATAGTTCATTTTAAAAACCACACTGAACGAGAAATTACGACAGAAACAGCAATTAAAATGCAACAAAAATGTATTAGAATAAAATATAAATAATCAAAAGGTACATTTTCTGCTTATAGGACAATCGTGCGCTGCAATTTCTTTTTGCAAATGGGCCAAAGTGCACACCGATACCAAGCGTGTATCTTTAAACAACAGTTGCACAAAAAGGAGAAGCAGCAAATGAAAGAGAAGTTTATAGAAACCATAACTATTTCAGTCAGACCGAGTCGATTAAACCGGACGATTTTGTTCCTCATTTCTGCTCTGACAAGTACAGCAAATGAAATGACTTCCTTCTAAGTCTCAAGAGAGATGCCACTTTTGTCTTTATGGTGTGTGTGTGTGTGTGTGTGTGTGTGTGTGTGTGTGTGTGTGTGTGTGTGTGTGTGTGTGTGTGTGTGTGTTGCTGTTCAAACAGATGGAAACATCCAGTTTTACATTAAATGTGAATCACAGGTGCTCTGGTGCTCAATAACATTCTTTGATTGTAATCACAGGTTTCCGGCAGCAATCTGCTCCCTGATTGGCCCGGTTCATGTTGCACACAGCTTTAAAGTAAGACCAGTGCAACTTTTAAAGATTGTGATTTCACTGCGTTTCTCCATTTACATCATTTTTGTGTAAACCCACTGCAGGGATTTATTTCATCACACAACTTTAACCACATCCCTGTACATCTTTATTGAAGTGAAACTGCGTGAAATTAACTTCTTGTTTTCTTGCATTATTTATCATGACAAGTATGGATATTGATGGCCTTGATGGTGGAGGCCCTGTTGTTCAGAACATGCAGCCTGTAAGACCAGCAAAAGTAATTTTACCTGCGCCACAACATACTCGAGCTGCAAAGAAGCGTGGGTATGTAAAATTAGAGCAACCAGCAAGAGTAAATCAGAGCATTTGATTTATTGCTTGCTGTCAGGATGTAATGAGAATTTCAACAAATTGATCGAGAGAAAATAGATCTGCAATTATTTGAGAAATCAGCAATAATTTTTGCCTTATCGAAGAAAAAATGCCAAATATTTGGTGGTTTCAACATCAAATGTGAGGATTTGAAGATTTTCTGAGTCATTGATGATCGTAAACTGAACAGTTGAAAAAGAGAAAAGCTTGTATTTTCGAGGGCTGAGTGCTGAGTCTTTTCTACAAACCCGTTATGTTGAACTGAATATCTTGAGATTTTGAACTGTTGATCGAACAAAACAAGATATTTGAAGATATCCCCGAGGGTTCTAGCAAATTACACTATGACTATGATTATTAATATTCAGCTGCAG